CAAGATCAACCGGAGGGTTATAATGGACGACTTGTGATCCGAATACAGAGGACGGCGCAGCGACCCTATCGTCCAGTACAAGCAACGAATCCGGTTGCCATCAAGGGTATTGTTAATAACAATACGTGTAGTATAACAATTTATTATACTACACTATTTGACGCTATCATGGACTCCACAAGTAACGTCAGCCGTAATGCCATCTGTGCTGGGTATTATTGCTTGACGAGCTTGTGAAGCCCACACCATGTTACTTTCTTCCTTGGGACTCAAACGAGCTCAAACCGACGCCAACTGCATTTTCCTGCAAGTGGTCGTTGCTGTTTACGCGTCGCCGCTGCAGTCGCATGCCCGCATTGGACACGGATGCTACCAAGCTTCAGCCGGGTGGCGGACAACTTGTTTTCTATTGGCGGCGAGCAGCTGCTGTCATGTGCCAACTCGATCTACCACGGATGTTTCTTTGAACATTCCATTGTCCACGCGGCATTGGCGTTTTAGAGTCGTGGCACCCTCGCCACTGGTTGTGTCATGTTGCCGTTGCCGCGCCATAGAATGATGGTTTCAGGACGCGAATGTAGGCGGTCCCAATCGATGCTCTCAGTAACTCAGTTTTGAATTGGCTTGATCGCAGCGTCTTTGCAAACAATGCTATCGAGTCCCACCAACAACGATGCTTGTGCATATGCACCGAGCTCGACGCCAAAAGCCGGCGCGCCTCCCATCGCGAAGACGCCGGCCATGGTGTCTGTCGCCAAGCTCTTTTCGTTTGCCGACACCACCGACAAGGTCCTCGTCACGCTCGGCACCCTGAGCGCGATGACCACGGGCGTCCTTCAGTGCATTCAGATCGTCTTCTTTGGTGACGCGCTCAACGCCGTTGGCCCCAACCGCCTGAGTGACGATTCCGACAACTTTCGCTCGGGCATCCGCCGCGTCGTGATCCAGTTTGCCGCTGTTGCGGGAATTGCGCTTCTGTGCGGCCTCGCGCAGATTGCGTGTTTTTCGATTGCGGCGGCGCGCCAGACGAAGCGCCTTCGCCACGCCTACGCGTCGGCCATCCTTCGCCAAGAAGTCGGCTGGTTCGACATCAACGATCCCATGCAACTCGCGACGCGGGTCGCGGATACGACGCTCATCATCCAAGAAGGTCTTGGGCGCAAGGTTGCGGACGCCATCAACTTTTCCACCATGGGTCTCACGGGCGTCATCATCTCCTTGGTATACGGCTGGGAGCTCGCGCTCGTCTTGCTGGCCGTCTCGCCGCTTGTCGCTGGCAGCGGCTACTGGATGATCAAGGCGATCACCACGGCCACCCAAGCCGGCGTCGACGCGTACGCCGAGGCGGGCGGCATCGCACAAGAAGCGCTGAGCAACATTCGCACCGTGCACGTCTTCAACGCCATAACGTCGTTCGCGCTCAAGTATAAGGCAGCGCTGGCAAAGACGGAAACCGCCGGCCTCAAGAAAGGCGTCGCCATCGGCGTTGGCACGGGCGGCATGTTCTTTGTCATATTTTGCACGTACGCGATCGGTATGTACTACGGCGCGGTCAAGGTCGCCGATGACCAGATCACCGGGTCGTGTGTCGGCAGCGGCTGCTACGACAGCGGTCGCGTCCTCGTCATCTTCTTCTGCATCATCATGAGCTCGATGGCGCTCGGCCAAGCCAGCCCCGGTATCCAAGCCATCTTTGCGGCCCGTGCAGCTGCCCAAGGCGTCTATGAACTCATCGAGCGCGAGTCCAAGATCGACGCGGCCGCAACGTCGGGCACAACCTTGCCGTCTGTCCGCGGTGACATCACACTGGCCAACGTCTCGTTTGCGTACCCGTCGCGACCGGACGTCCGCGTCTGCGCCGGTTACTCGCTCACGATCCCAGCAGGCCAAAAGATTGCCCTCGTCGGTGCGAGTGGTAGTGGCAAGAGCACGATTGTCTCGCTCCTCGAGCGCTTCTACGACCCGCTCTCCGGCAATGTTCTGCTCGACGACTACGACCTCAAGGACCTCAACCTCAAGTGGCTCCGGTCCCAAATTGGTCTCGTGGGCCAAGAGCCGTGTCTGTTTCAGGACACGATTGCCAACAACATTCGCCACGGCAAGCCGGACGCAACGGTCGACGAGGTGATTGCGGCCGCCAA